AAATTAGTGGCTAACAAGATGGCCATTTGTAAGATAGATGGCCAAGAGGACATCTCAAGTCAGAGTTATTAAGCAAGACGAGCGAAGTGACGTTGCAAGTAGATTTTAGCAAATCCTGGTAAATCTCAGGGTAGCCTAGGGTGTCGAGACTGTTTGCTCGAGATCATCGTGCGAGCGAAGTTAGGTGAACGTGTCTGAATATTCCCAAAGATTCTTAGCATCCGATGAAAAAGATGGAAACTCAAACAGTGCTGTAAATAAATGTGCGAGAAATAGAAAAAATAATGGAAAGAGCGATATAAAAAGGCATATTCGGTATAAAAAGGTCTCAACTGCTCGTACAGTAAGAAGTTTAATCCCAATAAGCTAAACTCGTGATAAGTGGGTGGTGTGTCCTTATGTTTTGCTTTTTATGTTGTCTCTGAAGGTAATGCATTCCCTGCCTACGTTCTTTTAATACCTCATTCCATTTACGTCTCTCAATCCTTAACCTCAAATCCTCTTAATGCTTAAACTCTCACTCTTCGACTTACTTAGCTGGAGCTACCAAACCAGTCAAAATGGCTGTTCCATTACTCACTCTTTCAGCTACTGAAGGAGTACAGCTAATTTTCATAAAACTGACGTTGTCTTTTGCTGAGATGGTAATCGTATGTGCCCATTGTCATCGTGAATCTGTATTATATCTAGGTCTATATTGTAACTCAGTGGTTCTAACGTTAAATGCTACTTTTTCTCAAGTCCAGGTGGTTAGTGACTCGTCACGAGTCTTGTTCAGACGCACTAACGTCACGTCTGTCAAGCAGTGAGGAGACAAGTCTGGGCTGATGGTGACCTCGCTATCAACAGTTGTTCTGGTAAACGTAACATCTGTGGATCACATTCTGGGCTTTCCCAAGTCCTCAGTCATTAATCTTTTGTAGACTCATGACAAGCTGGATTTCATTTCATTTTATTTTCACTGATTTATTTTGGGTACAATGTATAAAACTTCTGTGTTACGATGCAATTTAATTTGCTAGAATTGTGTCAACGTAGGTACATAGCTGTAGGATAACTCAAACTTTGAATACCGATTCGAGGTATGTTCTTGACTATGAATTAGCCAGGATATCCATATGTATGAATGTGATTGTTAGAAGAGGTCGGGTGACGGTCGATCGTAGGTGAATTGATCGGTAGGTTGACCTAATCACGCGTACACGAATTATTCTAATTCATCAGATACTCGAGAGATGTCCTGCTTGACACCCTCTAGACTGCTTACAGTATTCTATTCACAATTGTATTATCAAAGTTACTTCTTTCTCTTTTAGATCTTATATTCGATATTTCCACAACACCAGAGCCGATCTATTGGTTATTTGGCTTCCTATAATACTCTATACACAATCCATGATCAAAGAGAATCCCTGAGCAGTAGCTAGAGAAAACATAGTGTGTCCAGATCACTAGTAGCATCACTTTTACAGTTATTGCTTTCCTTTTTTAAATCTCACATTTGACATTTCACGTTACTAGAACCAATCTATTGGCTACTTAGCTCCGTATGATACTCTATTCACAATTGATGATCAAAGAGAATCACTGAGAGCGATAGGTAGAGAAGACATGGTCCAGATCATTAGTGCCACCACTTTTATAGTTATTCCTTTTGTTTTTAACTCTCACGTTTGACTTTGCCATATCACCAGACCCGATATGTTCACTACTTAGCACCCTATAACGCTCTAATCACAATCGATGATCAAAGAGAATCACTGAGAGCGATAGGTAGAGAAGACATGGTCCAGATCACTAGTGCCACCACTTTTATAGTTATTCCTTTTGTTTTTAAATCTCGCGTTTGATATTTCCACGTCACCAGACCCGATATGTTCACTACTTAGCACCCTATAACGCTCTAATCACAATCGATGATCAAAGAGAATCACTGAGAGCGATAGCTAGAGAAGGACCAATCCAGATCCCTAAAGACATCACTTTTATTGTCATTCCTCCCTTTTTTAAATGTCACATTTGACATTTCCACGTCACCAGACCCGATCTACGCTACGAAGTTCCTTCCGATGCAGAAGCGTCGGCAAGACGATACCTTTATTAATAGCCACATCGATCCTCGTCAATCAACATTACGTACGTCGTGATAGACACGGGCAAAGGCAGCAGAAATCGCGTCACGTGCGTCATGTGTGACGTAAAGCTGAACAGATTCGCCTTATCCCTTCGCCACACACACGCCGAACGAACTAAATTCCCGGAATTCCTACGCAACACAGCGTCCGGATTAGAGTTCTGTGCCCTTTGGTCGTGCCAAGGGACCCCTGGATTGGCTCAGTTTCCCGAATATCCATCGATGGGAAAACGGATGAAGGGCTAATCTAATGCGACAGTCGCGACCTGCACCTATTTAGATCAATTTTCAGCCAATCTTCCCGGCGATCCGATGAATTATTGAAACCGACCAGGGCAAGATAGAAATCTCATGTTTTTCAGATCTTCTCTCGTTTCTTTATCGGAGTATCATTGTTCAGTATCATATGGCTTATAGGAATTATTGACTTCCATTTTGTAGAGTACCAAAGTATGAGAGAGTAGCTCGGCTACCTGGGATTATTTATGGAAATGCGCCAGGAATACGTTTATGGGAAATAAGCGAAGTTATGGGACCTGGGTTATCTGAAAACATATTTACATATTTTATGTAAGTGGATACTTCTGCGAGTAGAATAATAACTCAGTAATCCCATAATATCTTAGACCTTTTTAACGAGTAATACACGAAATATATTTAAGTTTATTATTTAAATATTTTAACTTAAATATATTTCGTGTATTACTCGTTGGAAAAGTCTAAGATCTATTATTTATCTAGATATATAGATCTATTATCTATCTAGATAAGAGCTATTTCAAATCGGTGTACTCTTTCCAGAGGTTTTTCCTCTCTCGCTCGTTCTTAATGACGATTACATTTACCTGTTCACTCTTTGATATTTCTTAGACAATTATTTCATTCTGGTACATTCTTCTAAACATTTTTTCAAATACCATTCGTACTATAAGGCACTCAGTTGCGTTATATATATATATATATATCACTTATTGCACGATTATAGGGCACATGAGTTTCGCTGGTTTAACCTCACCCACGATTTCTAGCATAAATGCGTAATTTATTAGAAATTTGGAAAATATATTCGATGTTCGTGGATAAAGATAAGACTGAATGTCAGGTTTTCATGAACTGTCGGGTTATGCATGAATTTCGAGGAAATAAGCGAGCTTGGTATTTCGTCTAAAATTGGCGACATTTTGCAAGAGTTAAATGGCAATGGGTCATCAAGAATTTTTGCACAGTGCCGTCATTTCATACGGAAAGATCATTGTAATCTACGATAGAATAAATATAAATATACAATAATTAGTATAGTAACAAGTACACTAATAAATATATCGATGATTATCATAATATTGCAATTTATATTTTAATAAGCAATAATAATAATAATTAATAAATGTCTAATAAATACTGGCCCAAAGTTACCTTTAATTTTTCGTAGCAGATGAAATTACATTGGCTAGGTAATTCCATAGAACTCACTATAGATCTAGGGATTTTCTTTCTAGTTTCTTTTTTCTAGGGAATCGAGACATTTGCGATTCAATAGGACGAAGCTTCGGAAGTGGATGGTTTCTTGTATGATTTTTTAAAGGCTGCATTAGCCTTATTATATTAGTTACTAAACAAAGTTTCGATGTCCCATTAAAACCCTAGGGAACTCGTGCGTTCTTCGCGGGCGTATATCTCGCGGAAGACGCGAAGTTTCGGTGCTCTCGTGAATACCAATTTAGAGCAGACTTCCTAGCGGTTGCTACAGTCTCAATATTTAAATAGAACTAATATCCCACCCTCGAAGAAGTTTTTAGAACTGTATCGAAGACATTGTACGTATACTGTTAGAGATGTACGAAGAATTTCGAGACCGAAGTCGATGAAACTCGCTGATGATAGTCGAATTTATCTCTCTAACACCCTCTTCCAATTTGTTACTAATAAATTTAACAGAAGTTTCTTCAACCTTTCGCAATTCTTATTAAACACTTTTCTAAGGTAACAAATATGTTCATTCCCTACAATCATTCTCAAGCACTGAATTCCCCTAATCAATGGAAGTCTGTTTTATTCCTTTATTACCAGCATCAGTGTCCCATTACTCGTGCACACTCAGACGATCCCGACATCACTTGGACCAGGAGTTCAGTGTGGAGCAAGGAAACTGAGAGTAAAGAGCGGGTAAAAAGGAAAAAGGAGACAAAACAGAGGAAAGAATTGGAGGTTAGGATAGCAATCTGAAGTAGGTTACGAACAAGGGGATTGACTCAGGCCCGTGGAGAAAATAAAAGCCTACGAGATCTCATTTGAACTAGCTTACGTTTGTAAAAGGACGTAAACATCGTCTGATTAATTCTCCTTCGTCTGTAGAAAAGTCTGATGAAACAGCAAAATCCTTAGCTAGCTCATCCATAGATGACTTCTAGATTCTGTAGAACACACTCGCCGTGTGTTGTGATCCCAATTGCTCAAAGTCAACAAGAAATCAATTACCGATACAAGATACAACCCTAAATGAGTCCCCAGTGTTCCAATAACTCCGCAGCCCAGCAAACCTATGGTTCCTTCCTTTTACAGAAGAACACTGACGTTAATCTTCTCGTTTGCAGACGGAGTGTTCCCTGGAGCAGCTCGAAAACCGTGGATAAATCTTGCTGCAGAGAGATCGAGGTTTGATTCAAGAATCGGGTCAAAGCCGGAACTCGCGACTTCGAGGACGATAGGATGACCTCGCAGGAGGCTGAGGGCTCGTGGTCCATGGCGATCGAGGGAACTAGCGAGTCATCGACTGGTCCGTGTGTCAGCATGCCGGCGGAGCGTCGGGGCGTTTGATAATAGCGTCGTGGCGTTTGATAATTTGATCGACAGGATGACGTTAGCCATGGCGTGGGACAGGCGTGTGATCGCCGACACGGCAGCAGGTCGCCTAACGAGCGCGAAGAAAGCTCGTCGAGGGAAAAAAGGGACGGCCTAGAGGTCCCTAGTAATTGGTCACCTGTGACTTCGGGGCAGAGTGATATTTCTGGGGAATAATCGTCAACGTTCCTATCGAACGATCCAGCAGGGCTCGATTGGCCGCCAGTCGTCTGGAACAACGTGGGACCATCCGGAACAGTGAGCACCGAAATGAAGCTGGGGGATAACATGACTATGGAAGGTGAGTGGGATCGTGTCCTTTTCGCGAGCTATTATCGGTGTCAGGGTGTCAGCAAAAGGGACGAGCATTTACTCTGACGAAATTAGAATATCGCGAATTGATTTTTCCAATTTGAAATTCACCCTAGCTTTCAAGGTCTAACGAGACTGGGGGGACCCTCCACGAGGGTTTTTGTTGTAGTATGGTATCCTAGGTATAGGATACCTGTCGTGAGGTATCCTGTAGGCCGTCTTACTATGATAGGCAGCGAATAAAAGTGGTTTGCTAGTGGACTCGTTAATGAGGATCCTAGCAGGACATGTCTTAGACGGATGATACTTAGGCAGGTTAGGCATTTTTATTCATGGAAATCGAGGGTTTATCGAGGAACCTCCGTTTTCCATCTAGCAGTGAGAATGTGAAGGATGGCCGCTACAAAATGCTGGTTTTTGAAAGAATGGAAGCAAGAATTTAGAAGTCTGATGGGTTGCACTCTGGTGGCGAGTACTGGAAGCATAGGTTATAGAGATTGTACGAAATTGTTCTTAATCCACCTAAGGAAATCGAGGCAAACATGAATGCGACGAATGAGAGGTATAGATGGGACCAAACGTAAATATCATAGGTTGAATTCGAGTGATATATTTCGTTCATGACTTTGCGTATCAGTTCCGTGTTATTGTTCGCCGTGTCAGGACGTAATAGCTCGACGTGTGACTGATTTTGCTGTTGATCGTGTTGACCGCCACGTTGTCATCGAAACTGCGACAGCTTTCGAACGAGAGTTTGATTAGTGATATTTATTTTATATCTTTACAATTTTGTCACTACATCAAGAAAAATTTACGGTGGTTGATAGAGTAATTCGAAGGTTTTCATTGGAGACGGAGAAGATACCTGCGCATTTATCTATGATTTTATATTATTTTCATCGGTCAATCTCAGTTACGTGTTATTCTTGAAATAGCTTGACGTGTGACCGACTCGGTTGTTGATTATGGCACGCGCTTTTAGAATTTAAATCGTAAGGCAAGAGGTTATAGTAATATAGGAACATAGAAGTATTCGCAATAGAGAAAAGATCGATTTAGTGTAATAGAATTAAAATACAAATTGATATTTGTAATTAAAAATTAGTCTTGGTATTGTAAATAACTTAAAATCGAAGTATTAAGGTTTAAACTTTAAAAAGATTCTGCTCGAAAGAGTGAAAATAAGAATTATAAAGAACCGAGTTCGTCGAGTTGCCCTCTGGTGGCGAGTGCTAGAAGCATTAACCGTAGACTATGCGCGAGACTCGCAGAGCAGAGGGCACTAGGGGAGAATGGAAGATTCTGGAAAGGAAAATACAGAATGGAGAATTCTGGGGAACGAAAATTCAAAAGAAACTGGGACAATTTAAGCCAGAAATCTTGTGAAACGAGTAGAAGGGAAGTTGGATAGTCTGTTCAAAAGCCCTCTAGCAGCGAGTGCAGGAATTATCGGCATAGAATACGCGAAGATAGAGCGGCAATCGTGTTTTAATCTCTACCTTTCTTTTTTTTTAAATCAATCCTAAACTGAAACAGTAAATGGGCCACGTTTGCCTCTATTCAACTCGTTCTTAATTGTTCCGCTGTTATTGATTTCCGGAATGTGGCCACGTTTTCTCGTCGAAAGCCTGCGAGCGTCGCAGTTTGCCTCATCAGACTTCGTTGACATACTCTCGCTCGTTATCCAAATATTCAGGCAAACTCTGCTGTTTACTAAACGTTGGCAAGGACGTACGAAACGTGACTCCTATACAGAAATTGGGTGATACGATTCCAGTTTCGACGTTTCGTTATGTATATACTCCTTTCTCTCATCGCCTTTCTTCTTGCCTCAAAATTCTCTCCTCTTCTACAATACAGAATTATTTAAAAAATAATTGTTTAAAAAGAGCATTAAATTTTATACCTTCCTTTCACGTTATAGCTATTTTATGGAAAAATTGTATTTTAATATTTTACTTATTCCATGAGAGAATGATGTTTTATTATTTTAGTTATTTTATAGGAAAATCGAATTTTATGATTTTCATTACTTTATAATATAAAGTAGTAAATAATAAGCAAGTAAATATCTAATGTAAAGTAGTGACTGAAACTTTATAATGTAAAGTAGTGAAAATAATAAAACACGATTTTTCTATAAAATAATTAAAATAATAAAATATTCTCTCGTGGAATAAGTAAAATATGAAAATACAATTTTTCCATAAAATAGTTATGATGTGATATGAGGATATAAAATTTGTATAAATATAATAATAATATAAAGTAGTGAAAATAATACAATACGATTTTCCTATAAAATAATAAAAATAATAAAATATTCTCTCGTGAAATAAGTAAAATATTAAAATACAATTTTTCCATAAAATATAATAGCTATAATGTAATATGAAGATATAAAATTTTTTTATAATATAAAGTAGTGAAAATAATAAAATACTATTATTATTATTATTATTATTATTATCTGAAATAACGTATAATAAATAATAAATATCTTTATTAATAAGGATATTTGTTAGTAAAAATAATCGAAGATAATTAATTCTGATTGCTTCTAATTTTTTTCTCTTTCTCTTTTTCTAATTAATGGTTGTCCTATATCAGAGATGTAGATTTCATCATTGTAGTAGAGAAAGTTGTTTAACATTTATACGTGCTCGCGTTGACTCGAGGCCTTAAAGTGAAGACGTCGAAACGGCAGACCAGTTCATTAAGACCGTCTAAGGGTTTAGCTCCTTTCTAACTTTAGATTAATTAATATCATTTAATCGACGTGCCTGGGAGTAATACACGCTGCTGATTGGATTACCGATAATCAATAACGTCGTTTCATTACGTTCGAGTGCGTGCACATTCACGAACCAACGCAATGCGGATCCAACCGGTCGCAGTTGATTATTTTCTGATAATTTCGCGAGTGGAACCGGGATGACGTGATTTCGTACCACCACTAATTTCCTGCCAACGTTTGAATAATCTAGTAGTCAACCTGTACCCTCTCGGATCACAGCGACCTCGAAACACCAGCGAAAACTCTTTGTCTTTCCCAGTTTTTCCACTTTTCATTCGTTACGTACATACATGTAACTTCCACGAACGTTCAACAAAATTTTTCCTCTCTTTACTCTATATTTCGAAAAATCTTTGGTACTCGAATATCCATTAACATAAAATCAAATTATAATTTGCAAGATCGTCGAATTTATTTTTCTTACACACTATGAGAATATGAGAAGGGAAACAGGTACAGTGGTCTCAAGAAAAATTTTTTTCGTTGTTAATTATACTTGTTGGAACTCTATAGTTTTTTCCAAAAATTTCTTAGTACAGTAATTGATAATTAATAATTTATATCCTCTTTGAAATCGTACGATTTATGTTTAAATAATTTACGTTTATAATTCTCGTTTATTCATTAAGATTGGACACCCAGTATACATTTCATTACACGTTCCTGCCTATCAAAAAATTCAGAAAGGATAAGAAAAATGGCCTCATGGCATGCTTGTACACGAACATAATTAAGTTGAAAATAATCCCTCGATTAATTTCAAATTTTGACTTATAAATTCAAAACACTCCTTATACGATTTACACCTGGGAAAATTCGTAGATTTCAATTAAGCCTCGCTTGCCTGTTCATTTTCACCCCTAAACGCGGGTGCCCTCGGGCTCCGACTCTCTTGCGGGTGGAAAGAGCCGTTTCGTGACTCTTAATCGAGTTTACGCTGATTAATGGACTTGACTGTCGATCACAGCCAGGTCCCGATATAAACGCCACGATAGACCTGCCTTAGGCACGTAAACACTGCTATCCATGGCGATTCCATCCTCGTGTTCCCATCGACTTATCGTCCCGTCGATCCGCGTTGCAAACTTGGACATCGATGGCCAAATTTCGCTGCAATCGACCCTTTGAGGACGTGTTCCTTTGGCTTGGAGTTTACGCTTTGTCACAGTCACGTTAGGTTAGAATTTGAGTTTTAGTAGACGTGGAAATCGTGGACGTGATTGATACATTTGTGTGTACAAAATGGCGGCGAATCTCCGATTTATCTCGATATTATTTTATTATAATATTTAATATTTATTTTAATATTTAATGTAAACCGTGTCAATTTTCCAATATCTTCATTCGTTCCATTTTCTTCGAATTTTCCTTTCATTTTTCCACCTACCGGTCATTTGACTGATTACGCTAGGTTAGTTTTGACTCTTAGTGTTAACGTGACCTTGAAATCTGTTCTATCACTTCGCAGAAAAATTAGTAGTATCATGCAGAGTGTTTTATTATGTCAATTTTTTTTTTTTTTTTGTAACTTCGTTAACTATAAATTTTGCGGGATGTTTAATCGTATGGATTTAAATGGGACACACAGTATACGAGTACTTACGTAGCGTGAGTCTGCGAGAAGATGGACGGACGTGGTTAGTTATAGTGTAATAAGGATCATATCGTCTAACATAATTATAAAGATAGAGTACATGAATTTTCAATAATGACTGGAAGTGTCACAGGTACAAATGGGGTCGCAGGAGATCGAATGATAAGGAACGTGAACGAAATACATTAATATAGAGAGAGACAGAATAATGAAATATCGGTGTAGATATAGGATCTGTGCTAACTATATGACATAAGATAAAAAGAGTGTTGACATAGTTTATCCGACTATTATATCAGCATATGGTAGAGATTTTGGGCCATGTGGAATGAATTCTGTGTCAACCTATTATATTCTCACAGATTTAGGTTATGTTTCAAGATTTATACAAATTTTAAATTTTCCCAAACCCAATATCTGTCAAAATCTAGTATTTAGTAAATAATTAATAATTAAAGTTTCTCTGAAATTTTTCACTCATTCTATTTTCGATGGGGTCAAAAAATATCGTGTTATGGAAACCCATAATAAGATGGATACACGAGGAATATTTTCTCTCTCTCCTTTTTCGAATGAAAATTCGAGACTGCATAATTTT